ACTCCGTCATGAAAGTGCAAGTAAGGCAGACAAAACCGACATTCCAACGATTGCAAACTTTTCTGTTTCCTTCTTTCTCTAACGCTTATTAAAAAATTTATCAGTTATTTCTAAAGTCTTGGAAATTAAAATATTCTTTATTAATTTAAGCTTTTTTATTCAAATTTTATATTGTAAATCAGCGGCTTTACAATTTAGTTCGAAATGCTCACGGGTGTCTTGCCATTTCAAGGACAGAATCGCAAAGAAACGATGACGCAGATTTTGAAGTGAGTCAAATGGCCGCTTTGTTTATTTTTCTACGCGATGTGTAGCGGCGCGTTTTTAGAGCTAAGCTTACCATGCCACAATTTCTTAGCCCAGAGGCACAGAACCTGCTGCGAGCACTTTTCAAGAGGAACCCGCAAAATCGGATTTGTAAGTTTCTTTTCTCTTCGTTCTAGCCGATTTATTAAGTTTTTTCTGAAACTCGTTTAAATTCTCGGTTCTTTCTCGAATAAATTGCCACTAGAGTGATTTTAAACACAACTAAACAGATATATGGTAATTTTTATTGTATATCTAGTGATGTTTCAGCCATACCACGTCGTGGTCCTCTGGCACTGCTTCTAGTGAGAACCGCGATGTAGTTGAGGCGTGCACAATTAAGATAAAGACTATCGTCTGTCTGTTTCCTTGTGCATGGAACCATTGTCTTGTCAGTATAAATTTATTAAGGTAATTTAACCTTTTTGCGTTTCAAATCTGTATTCTCCGAAATAAGTTTTCTGGTTCAATGAATACGAAAGCAAAGTAGACGCAGCGTCTCTGTCAGAAAGTGACAGTTTTGGACAGCCACATTTCCCCTCTGTTCTGGCTTTGTCAATCTCCATTTTCGATTTAGATCTTGTTCGTGCAAATAACAATTGAGTCGAAACTGTTTTTTCTTAAAAGGTATTTTTTCTGAATTTTCGCTGGTACTGAATCTGTGTAGACTTGTTAAGATTTTTGAACTTCTATTTTTTGGATCTCATTGTTGGATGACTATGAGTACCGATATACTGAACACTAAATTACTTAAGTACACGCTGAACACTCGCTGTTGTTGTGCCTTGGAATATGATTCATTATATTTACCCAGTTTGACTGTTGGCATGATATGCTGAGTGAGAATCTCTCTTGAAATAGTTTGCCATGAAACTGAATTAATAGTTATCAGTTTCATCAATATATTGTCATCTTTCAGTTAGGCCAACACGCAGAGTGGCCATTTCAAAACGCGGACGTCATTGAGTAGACCTTCACATTAATCAGCCATTTCTTCATCACAGAATGAGAGTTTTTGGCGCAGACCTCTGGCTAACATTATCGTTTGGTCCTGCAGCTGGCTCATTGAATCTATAAATGTACGGTGGTCAGCTGTATTAATTGCTCGGTTCAGCCCGTCATGTTATATATCAATTGATTGCTCTTTGAGCGAGGTACGATTCCATTGTCAAAGTATTGAATTTTTTGTTGTGTATTCTATCAAACTATTGATGACTGTGCGACACCATCATTGGCAGATGGTCGTGTATATCAATGAATTCACTTCGTCCATCGTACTACCTATCAGTCGAAAGCTTTCTGCGAATACAATGCGATTCCGCTATCAAACTCTGAATATCGTTGATGAATCAAGTAATTGATACAGATGACCACCTGCAATTATACTAATTGAGATAACAGCCCGCTGACTAGCGAATTCGCACCCTCACCATGATTGAATCATGCAATAAAACGAAAATTCTTAGTTTGACAGTGGCATTGCATTGTACTTGCTTAGAGATTTTTCGTGATTGACGAAGTCAGATCATTATTGCAGATGACCATCTGCCAATGACATAAACTCAAAATCCTGACCGTAAACTGCGCCCTGACGTATACTAACATCTCACTGTCATCACAACGGAATTGTAATAAGAAGTTCAGTAGTTTGACACACGCGTCGTATTTCGCTCACAATGACCTGCCAACCCATGCTATATGATGGACTGACTCACGCAATTCATGCAGTTGACCACTGTCCAGTTATGAATAGTCACTGCGACGACTGCAGGGCCAAATGCTGATAATAACCAACAGCCTGTGCCGAAATATCATAGACGGTCATCGTCATACCAGTTAATCGCCAGTTTCTTCTGATGATTTCTTGCTAATTCATCATCTTCTGCCATGAACGATTCTACTATGGGGTCGCAGTGCCAGATACGCCCAATAGTGCTTCCAACGTTCCCGATCCTGTGCCTTAGTCTAAAGTCGGAACTTCGGAGAAATACAGCCGGTCTAGAGCAGACTCCTTCCATATTTTTGCACTATGCTAATCTACATCTTCCCCTGGACAATCAACCGGACAACTGGGCAAAAAATGGCTGCTTTGCCTTTCTTTCTGGAGGCGTTCACAAAACATGTCCAGACAATCGCAGCTGTGACTTCTCTATCTGAAGAAGTAGCGGCTGTACACCAAGGCGCTCCGGTATGTCTGTATTTCGGACTATGGCCAGCGCTCGTCTCAAAAAGCCCATTTCAGCCGCTTGTGCCCGGAATCGATGTTTGGCAGTCAGAGACAACCAATTCGTAGGTTCTCTCTTTGGCCACCCTTCTTGAACAGGGGTACAACCCCAGTTCTCTAGTCCGCTGATGTCTGCTCCGCAGCCATCGTAGTTTGGCTTATACGAGTAAGCCGGCACATTGCTTGTTCGCCTAA